AAAGTGTCAATATTTTATGAAAAATTGCTGTTTGTAATTCTGTATGGAGTTTTTCTTCGATAAACCGTGTATAATAATCATCCTCCCATAAGCGTTGCATTCTGTATACGTTATCGTTTGAATAATCGTTGTCCAGTGGCGATGAACAACATGAACCGCGTGTCGTTGCAGTATTTATTAATTAAATCGCGAATCGTAAAATGTAATCAAAGACGGATGGATAACTTACGTGTGACATGTATACACAGTTGAGTGAACGATGTTATTTGTACCATATTATAAGAATCGTGAATAGCGACATTTGAAAATTAGAATCAGCTACAATTCTGTGAAAGGACACGCTTGGATAAATGTTTCGCTGGCGTGAAACGAGCGAAAATTTCGTCCGAACAATTGATTTTTCGCCGGTGCGATCGAAGGTTCATTCGAATAATTATTATTTAATTAAATTGTAAGTATGTGATTCTAGCACGTTTGTCGGTCTGATGATTTGTGAAAGTGAACAGTACAACGTAAACTCGCGATTAAGCTATCGTAATCTGTAGATAGTTAAGTGTATGACAGATTATTGTAAAGTGAGAATGAACGGTACACTTATTTCCGATCACTCGTGGTGTCGAAAAACTTTTGATTGTAAATGGATCATTGTGAATAAGATTATAGGAAAAGTGTACTCAACGAATTTTTATATTTTGTTGCTTATAATTGATAATTTAATTCCCAAGTGCTTGACTTTATAAATAGATACTCTGTTGGATCTTTCGGTCCTTTGAGACCCGGTACTATTTCATCTTGCTCACCTTAATCAAGGATTATCTAATCAGTGAGTCCTTCAATATAATTAGGTGGATTTTCAAATTTTTCAGACGAAGACATACCTATAAACTTCAATAGAAAGTAACGAAGCAATCAGGGTAAATTTATAGTTCTCCAGAGTTCCAATGGAACATTTACAAATGGAGAATTTACCTATCTAATTAAATGTACTTATGGAACGAAGATTATTGTACATATGCCAGTTTAAGACAAAAGGGTAAATTCAATGAATAGGACGCAAAAGATTATGTGTACAGGGTGACTAAAGTATTCTATTTGACGGAAGATATCTTGTGGTGACCTTATAATATAAATCGGCCTCAGTTCATGAAAAATCAGTTTAAATATATGAATACAAAATTTACGAAACATTGTTTTATGTTTTATAAATGGTGACATGGGATTTGAATATAATTAAATTGTTTACCAAATATTTCTTCCAAAAGATTATAATAAAGCGGTAGGTAATATAAGATGTTTCATGATTCTTTCAGACCATGGTAAATAAATCATAATTACATTGTTATGTACAAAACGATTGAAATAATAATAACTATACTGTCATTGCTATATGCAAAATGTGTATAATATATTCGAAAAAAAATTATTGACATAAATTGTATGTACTGTAATTAACGTTGTTGAGATCTATAGAGTCTGTAACTTTGGAAGGCTTGAAAGTAGAATTTATCAAAAAAATCGTTAAAACACTTATACAGTAAATACTTATACGTCGATAAGTACATAAGACAGTAACTACGAAAAAGAAAAACATTATAGTCGCTTATGTTACATCGAAATAATTGAAAACAGGTTAAAATCTGGGACTCAAAGGACAGAAAGTGGAGGCTAGAACTTTTAGTTCAAATTGAAACGCTCAAGCGAAGATCCTTTAAGTTAATGTCCTCATAATAGAGTAATGTCTTGATAAGTGTGAATGCCTCGGTTCGCGGAGTCACATTCACGCTGGAGGCAATCAGTTGTCAGCACCTCGTCAATCAGTTTTTTGCTCGAAGCTCAATCCTCGGCAGCTTGCCTTTGTAGTGTTTCAATATAGAAAAGGACAAGAGAGTGAAAAACAGAAAGAGAAAGCATCTCTTTTCACTCGATTCGACTGCGTGAGCCCGCCTGCGACGCTACCACCGGCCAATGGTTACATTCTACTCGCTGCGGTTCGCATTATCTTACTCGGTCTCGATGTGTCTCGTTCATTCTCTTCGTCACACAGTCCGATTGTGTGTACCGTTTCGGTCAATAATAAAAATACGTGTGACTGGTGGTGATCCAGCTAATTTCATTTGTCAGTAGCACTCTAAGCATTCGCTGACGAAGCGTCGTACATATTCATATACATTTCCCCGCTCTGTCCGTCGAATCCGTCGTACCAGTCGGTCAGAAGAAAGAGACTTTTTTCGTCGAGTCGACGCGATGGCTGAACGAGGGAAGATCAAGAAAAGATTACATTCCCGGGTATCAGTGACAACGCTAATGGAAAATGAAACTTTTAAATGGAACGATGAAACTTTTTTATTTTTGATTCGTTGTTAATGAAACTTTTGCTAGTATATTGGTGAGATTTTTCTGATTAAAATGATACCAAATACGACATAATTTGAATCATATTTACTCATGTAGGAAGTGTTAATAGTTCATATTCGTTGATTATCGCTTCTGATAAATCATAAGTAAATATGGTCCAAATTATATCGTGTTTGGTATCATCTTAATCAGAAAAATTTTCGTTAACAAAGAACCAAAAACAAAAAGTTTCATCGTTGCATTTGTTCCCCTCGTTTAGTCGTCGGCTCGTGAAAGGGAAGTCGCAGAGGCACGCCGGGCAAAAAATTATACAGTTGACTGGTTCCACGGCCCCCTTCCCCCAGTGGTGGGGATAACTACTTCACACTTATCGTGGACGAGCCGGCTCACATTTATCAAGATATTACTGTTATACGAAATCAAGCAAACGAAATGACCACACAAAGGAGTTTTAAAATACAAGCAAACATTTAATTATTCGAATAATCTTCAAACGTATCAAAGCGTGACTCGGAAGAATTTCACGTGGCAGAGATGAGCAACATTTTGTTCGAATACTAAATCACGAGTATGAATAATACAATGAAATTCGTATTTTATCGTTACTTGAATATGTATCTATTCAAAAAGTGAAGAATTGTATTATTCTACAATTACAATATATACAGGATGAGTAATCTCAGATTTTCACCTGAGACATTTCCGTTGTTTTTAATGAAACGAGAAAGTGTCCGAAGGAAAAATGTTTGCTTCTGTGCAGCAATTATTATCATCTAAATAGACCATTTTTTTCACCAGGTCGTATTTCCTTATGTTTCAAGATCATCGTTGTATTTTTTAATAGGATCACATATTTCGATTAGTGTAACGTTATAGCTAATGAAAAGACAAATTCAAACATGTATAATATGTTAACCTTCAAATGACCTTCGGAGAAATGCTTTTTGAAGTATAACTCCTCCGACGGTCATTTGAAAGTTAACATATTACACATCGTTGAATTTGTCTTTTCATTAAGTATAACGTTACACTAATTAGAATACGTTATCAAATTTAAAAACAACGACGATGCTCTTGAAATATCGGAAACTATAACCTTGAGGAAAAATATCTTCTATATCACAATAATTGTCCCACAAAAGTAAACATTTCTTCCAACAGGCATTTTCTCATATCGTTCAAAACAACGGAGATATTGCAGGTGAAAATATTAGGTGACTCGCCCTGTACAACTGTCTCATGAATAATGAACGAATAGTTATTCATTTTTTATTCATTACTCAAAATTTGCTACTAGACTACTGTACAAAGAGCGGTCAATAAAACTTGTATAGTTTTCACCTTTTGTTGACTTTCATTTACACGTTTATTACGGCACAAAATGTACGAGTTACAATTTAAATAAAAACAGTATACTCGAACGAGAAACGAATATACAATTATGCGGCGTTTCACCGATTATTTCGCGGAGAGTATGATGGTGAGTAACCAGACGATTGATTCGCAACCGGTAGAAGAAAATGCGTCTAGCGAGCACCGTTTGTTTTAGCGTTGGATTAACGGTAATCTGGGTCAGGTGCCGTCTGTCTTGTACTTGTCCTGCTTGGGGCGTGAAGGGAGTGGAGTTCGCCTTCCTGGGTAACCTCCAACAGTTTGGATGAGTTGGAAGCCTATTTGCGGAGGACGAAGACGCCCGCCCTGATGAGTGGATTTAACTGGGTTTGTTTCCCTTTGGCATCCTTCACCGTCGCTTGGCCGGACAGGACATCGTCCATGTACACCTCCGAGCGTGTTACAGCCGCGCCGTGAGGAAACTTGGACTTCTCGTCGGTTGTGAATTGCTTCAGGCAGTGTAAGACCAGATACGGTGCACACGCCAGGCCGTAGGTGAGGGTCCAAAGGACGTAGTCGCTCACCGCAGCATGAGCTATCCGCTGATACATTCGGTCATCCTCATGTATCACAATCTGCCGATACATCTTCTCGACGTCCGCGGTGAAGGTGACGAGATGACGAGGGACCGACACCATCGCAGGAACACGTCTGCCAGAGGAGGGAGTAAATTCGGCCCTGTGTATAGGCAGTCATTGAGGGACTTACCAGAACTGGTCGACCAGGAGCCGTTGAACACAACACGCAGCTTGGTGGTGGTGCTGGTGGCTTTCAAAGAACTTCATGGTGGGACATGTAGAAATGGGATCCTGCCGGTGGCGTTCTGGCTACCTCCATGTGTCGCATACTCGGTCATGAAAGCTCGGTAAGCCCTCTCAAACTCCTTCTCCCTACGCAATCGACGTTGTATCGACTCTAGGCCGCGGAGCGCAGCCGGTTGTGAGGCTCTGAAGTGTGATGTCGTCCTGAGTGACAGACGGACCACGAATCTCCCTTCTGGCGCCCGGTTGTAGATGGTCCGGAAGTGCTATTCGCATTCCTCGTCCTCCGGAATGCGTGGTACCTCGACCTGAACCTCTTCCTGCAACCAGAACTGCTGTAATAGGTCGTCCAGGCCTTGTGCTACGGTGCAGCAGTGCACCCTAGGCGGTGCGCCCGCGATGGGCTTGAACAAGCCGAGGCCCCCTGCAGTCCCCCGTCAGAATCCACCGCAGCTTCATGTCTTGTGCCACGGGTTAAGCACACCCTCCTCGTCAGACTTCATCTAGCAGAATGTGGTTATAGACGTCTGCCACCAGCATAACGTCTACGGTGTCGGGAGCCGCATAGTGAGGATCGGCGAGAGTTAGCCCTTTGAGGTGTGACCAAGCCTCGAGTCCAGGAAGCTGTGGAGGACGGTACCTGGAAGGCTCGTTCAAAATTAAAGTAATCATCTCGATGATTGGTGTTTTGCTGCGCACCGAAGCCAGAGGTATGGAGACCCGGCCCCGTGACACCTGTGTACGCGCCCCTCCGACTCCAAGCAGGAGAACACGGGCGTGAGTCGTCTTCGGGCCTAAACTCTGCGCGAGGGCCTCAGATATTAATGAGACCTCGCTCCCTGGATCCACCAACGCCCTTGTCACCAAGGAGGTACCCATCGTCGTGAATAGGCGGATGCTGGTGGTGCTGAGAACCACAGTCGACGCAGCCAGACGCTGATGGACGGCGTGCAGTACGGTGGCTCCTCCGCCGGACAGGCATGCATCGTGGATGGTACTGTAGTGCTTCGCCGAACACCGCTGGCACCGCTTATCCGAAGGGCACTCGTCGATGTGGTGTTTGCCGAGACAGTTCAGGCACTGCTGTAGCCTCTTCACCGTCTTCAGTCGTTCGTCCGGGCTTATGTCCTAGTACCGTAGGCAACTGAAAAGGTAATGCAATCTCTGACAAAGATAGCAGGTTTTACTGGCCTTATTTTTTGTTGATAGCTGGTGCACCTTGACTGGCTTCGCTGGCACACGTGACTGGTTGCGGACCTCGGTACCGGAATGCAGGAGGCAGCTTCGACGGCCAATATCCGCGCGTCCAAGAAGCTCTTGACCCTGTCCAACGACGTTGGCTCGGTGGTGGTACCGAGGGAGAGTTGCCACTTCATACGGGTCTGCTCGTCAAGTCGATTTACCGTCTGTGGAACCAGCCAATCGGCACTTCGGTCTACCGAATGTCCCAAAACTGTGAGGGCTGTTACGGTGTCCCACGTCCGGAGTGCTTTCAGTTCTTCCACCGAGCGAGTACGGATCAGGGGCAAGGCCTCTAGATGATTCAGTTGATGCTGCACGAGGATCCGCTTGTTGTTATACAGACTCTGAAGCACGGTCCAAGCCGAGGTGCAATTGGTCTCCTTGAGTGGCATGTTTCTGGTAAGCATGTCAGGATAGCCAGCAAGACAACCTTTAAGGCGCTCCAAGTTCGTCATTGTGGCATTCCGAACTGTCAGCGTCTTGAATAAATCTCGTAATAACGGCCACGCAGTATAGTCACCACCAAAAGTAGGTAATTACATTGTCTGTACAGCCGGGCGAGATTGTATTGCCATGACCCCAGGTGTAGCGATCATCGTAACCTTACTTGTTTCCGCTGCGAGTCTCTTGAGGATTTCGTGCAAGGTACCCCTTTGGTCGAGGTAACTTTCCTCAGTCTCGTCGTACTGGCCCTGCACGAAGTAATTGTGCTTTTGCTTTCAGCTGCCGTGGCGGTTACCTGGAGTTCGAGGTGTTTCTTCGCGAAGGTAGTTCACATCGTCTCCATGTGGTCAAGCCGACCGCTAACCATCCCTTCGGTGTAGTTATTAATTCCCCTCTTCTTCAGGTTTTCCACGACATGATTGATCACGTACCTCAAAGTCTCTTGTGCCTCGAACATGCCAGCCATCTTGTCTCCACCTTGTCCGGTACAGCCGATATTGATAAAAGACCGAATAATTCGTAAGAAAAATATCCGGCTCGAAGGACCAAAATCTACAAAGAGCGGTCGGTAAAAATTCTATAGTTTTCGCCCTTTGTTGACTTTCACTTACACGTTTATTACAGCACAAAATGTACGAGTTACAATTTAAATGAAAACAATACTTGAACGAGAAACGAATATACAATTATGCGGTGTTTCACCGATTATATCGCGGAGAATATAATGGCGAGTAACCAAACGATTGATTCGGAACCGGTAGAAGAAAACGCGTCTAGCAAGATCCGTTTGTCTTACCGACTGATTATCGAATAATTGGATTACCGTTGGATTAATGATATTCCGGGTCAGGTGCTGTGTCAAAAAATCACGTAGACACCTCGCATGACAACAGACAGTGAGTGTGACAAGGATGAACCCTTGTCGTACGAGAGCGAATCTGTAGAGTGAGAGGGCGTGTTAATCATGCGAGGTGGCCCACAGATGGCCTAGACCAGGCCTGTCCAACTTGTGGCCCGCGGACCAAAATCGACAATCGCCCCTACCGGCTTGCTCTTTCAGCCGAGGGGAATGACCCCCCTCCATATCCACAAGAAGTCCGACGATACAGAGGCAAGAAAGCGTGTGTACATGCTCTGACTGTCCCCACTTCTGACGCTCCAGAAATTCCTACCCGCACGTACCTGTTGCCCCACGATCGCATCGCAGCGCAAGCGAGTAGGTGGGGTATGGACTGGGTGATAGTGGGGACCGCGTCGTCTGGCGAAATGACCCGCGGGCCACATGTTGGACAGGCCTGGCCTAGACGACGATCGCGCGAAGACAGAAACGCGCTACCGAATTCGGCGATTACCGAAGACACTGCAGACCGCGTTTCGCGGACAACAGCTGCCGTGGCTGACATCACGAGGCTTCTCATGATCCTCAACAACTACAGATATTTATGCATTCGTAGTACTAGTGAGTCGCTAAAACAAAAGAAACTATTCATTTTATTTTTAAGTTATTAACGGTTTGAGTCCCAGGCGATATTGAAAAAACACTGTCGAAGAATCCCGAACAGCGCAACCGCGCTTCTCTAAATGAGTACGGGAAGACCCAAGCGGCGCGATAGCGCTTCTTTTATTTTATGTCGATAAATTGTTTGTTCATAACACAAAAATATTTTTAATTTGTAATTCCTTATTTTATGAAATATATCTGTATTATTACATATGCGTACTGTAAATTTATAAATATTTCAAGTTTTGTTCGATAAAAATTATTGAGAAGATAACAATGAAATACAAAATGTTTTATTTTGTAATGTATTATTGCACTATTATTATGGTATTGTACCTATTGTAAAATGTATTATTTACATTAAAAGAAGGAGCTGTGTGATTTACGTGCGTCAGTAAATCTGAGCGCGCGACTTTGACAGTCGATGACGCACCGTCAGTTGTCCACAATGCTCGAAATGTGCTGGTTTTCTCGACATTAAATCTGAACAGCGCGATCGCGCTGCTTGGGACTCGAACGGTTAATACTTATAAGAAAAAAACAAATCTACATTTATTTTTGGGTTTTGCAAGTACAAGTGCAAAAACATCCACAATCTATTCTCTACTTAAATTTTGTTCATCTTTGCCCGGAGCTTGATTCTCGAGTTCAAAATATCCAGCACAAATACACACACACATTCACACGCCACAAGAAACATATACATACAGAGAGTCCTTGATAAGTATGAATGCCTCGGTTCCGCGGCGTCACATTCACGCTGTAGGCGAACAGTTGTCAGCACCTCGTCAATCAGTTTTTTGCTCGAAGCTCGAGCCTCGGCACTCGCCTTTGTAGTATTCCGAACGTAGAAAAGGACAAGCCAGTAAAAAACAGAAAGAAAGCTTCTTTTTCCACTCGATTCGGTTGCGTGGCCCACTTGCGACGCTCTAGCCGACCAATGGTTACATTATAGCCGACCACACAGTCCGATTGTGTGTGTACCGTTTCGGCCAATAATAAAAATACGTGTGAATGTAGGTGATCCATCTACATTTTATTCGTCGACAGTTCTCTGGGCAGTCGCTGACGATTGGATGCTTCGACTACTCGTCGTACATTCCCCCGCTCCGTCCGTCGAGTCGATCGAGCGCATGCATTGTTGGCCGGCGTGCGAGACAACGCTAATGCAACGATGAAACTTTTTTATTTTTGATTCGTTGTTAATGAAACTTTAACTAGTATATTGGTGAGATTTTTCTGATTAAAATGATACCAAATACGACATAATGTGGATCATATTTACTCATATAAAAAGTGTAAATATAATTCAAATTATATCGTGTTTGGTATCATTTTAATCAGAAAAATCTTACGAATATGTTCGTAAAAGTTTTGTTAACAAAGAACCAAAAACAAAAAGTTTCATCGTTGCATTAGTTTCCCTCGTTCAGCCATCCGCTCGTGAATGTGAAAGGGAAGCCGTCGCGGCGCGCCGAGCAAAAAATTATATGCTTGACTGGTTCCACGGCCCCCTTCCCCAGCGGTGGGGATGACGTTTTCACACTTATCGTGGAGGATTCGGCTCACACTTATCAAGGGCTCTCTGTATACGCGTGGATCCATGGAATTGGCGCACTGATATTGTTATTCTTACTAGGAATATTTGTATCGATAATCGAGAAACCATACTTCGTCAAATGAAAGGACGAAAAGGTCGTGAGATGGTTGAAAAATGTTCACAGATGAGTGAATACTAGTTCTCGTGATTGCGACAATGATGCAAACGAAATCGTTCTTGCGAAACGGAAGAGGAACACGAGTGGAACAAGACGAGATAACGCAATCGACTGTGATCGTCGCCGAACGAAACGACGCAGAAAAAAAACCGCGAAATTTAACGACAGACCGCTCAAAAGGCACAGATAATAAAATAGGAGGTTTAATACAATTTTAGAATGAATTGCGTCAATGATTTACCCGTCATCCTTCAAGCTGGTTCGAAGGATGTTATTCCCCATTGTTGTTTAGAAGGCATTTAACGAAAGAAAATTTTCGTTTTCTCGACCGAATGCATATTCATGAACGACTCGATTTCATTTTATCTTCTTTCTGACGTCTGGCAAGTGATGTTGCCCAGATATTAAATTAGTTTCGAGAAAATAATGATTGTAAGTTGTAGGACTCGACCTTATAAGAACTGAAGTGAGTGTCACTCACCTGGAAAACTCACTATCGAGCAGAAAAATGGCGTCGAAATCCGTCATAAGTAGTCCTGTGCATAAATATAATTAACTTTCTTTTTATAATTTTTTGAATTTTTAAGTTTTCTTTTGATACATGTAATTAAAATAACTGGAAAAGAAACAAAAAGCAGCAATATCGGGTCGAAGTCCATTTTCCACCCACGCAAGTCCAGTTCATGAATCTGGTGGTGCAACAAAGTCGTGAAAAGTTGCTTCATCAACAACGAGAACACTGGTCGAGGTGAACAAGGATCCCATGTTGGTGTTTTCTGTTTCTTTTACAGTTATTTTATTTATATGTAACCAAAAAACCTAAAAAACAATTGTAAAAAGAAATTTATTGGTATCCACTTTCAGAGCCGTTTATGGTGGACTTTGACGCCATTTTTCTGGCCGATACCACAGACGAGATATAAGAATAGACTTAACATGCAATGTAATTTTCTGTCCCATGTTTCGGGGGCGTCAGAAGCCCTCGTACCATATCAGTATTACATTCCTTTTTCACGAAACCGAAGCAATAATGTATGTATGTATTGCTATATGCAATCACGGGTGTGTGTGTGCTGTGCGTTATCACGGTGTCGAACGTAGTTCCTGAAATCGGAAACTTTTATGGAGAGGTGCGCTCGAACCAGCGTGATTTTCGTGGGACACCAAGTCCCATAAGATGTCAGGTCTATTCTTATATCTCGTCTGTGCTGATACTGAATTTTTTAGGGGAGTGACACATATGTATTTCAGTTCACAGAAGATCGAGTCCTATAATTTCCAACCATTATTTTTTCAAAATTGATTTGTCATCAGCGTAACTTCTCTTGTCAGTTTCTTCTTTATTCACACTTTCAGCTTAAGTTAGACTATTTTTCAGAGAAAAATCTATTGCAAATTTAATAATATTCCACAGAATTTATATTTAGACAAATACGATATTTTATGCATACAATAAACAGTAGCCGTTTTTTGACAGCATAATGCCATACACTACGTCCAGATAATTACAGAAAAGTAATGAACAATTTTTTCCGTAATTTCACGCATACTTTTTTCAGTATACTCAAATTTTCATAAGCATAGTTTTTCACCAATCCGTCTGATATTCTCTATATTAGGTGTATCAATGAATGATCCAATGAGTTTGTAATTCTCAAACAATATACATTAAATCGAAAACTTCTTCTTGACTTTCAACTGTGGAAAAATGGAGTATAGGATGCTACAAAAGACGTCACGAAATAATGGATTACCTATTGGTACACCTAGTATAATAATATCTGATGCGGTA